ATTATGAAAAATATATATACCATATTCATTAAACATCTAATTTATCAAATTCAAAAATAATATCAATGACATACTATCACTAGATTAATAAATATTTTTATTCATCGCATAATATTCAAAAGAAATCTATTAATTTACTTTTAATCAAGACCGAATCAATTTATTAAAGAATATATATATAAGCTTCACTTATAAATACTTTTTAAGAATTCATAATATCTCGAAATTCTAATAAAATTAGTATATGAAATACTATTAGCAATAATAAATATGAAACATCTTCCAATTATCATACAAAAAAATCGAAGAAATATATGAATAAAATCATAATCTTATCTTTATAATCATCTTCTGCACTAAATATATAAATTTCGAAAATTTATCTATTCCATATGAGAAATAAATAAATATTTTAATTCGCAAGAAAATATTTCGAAGTCCGCCAATAGCGATATAATCCTTTATCAAATTTTAAAAAAAATAAGAAAAATTTTAATTTCCAATAATTTTCCTATTTTATTCATCTAGTAATAATTATCAATATATTTGTATTTTTAAAATGAGAAATATGAAGTATCAGAAGCGCACTAAATTATAGTGACTAAAATCGCACAGAGCAAGAAAGTCATCATTCCACGATTCATACAAGGGATAATATCATTGCCAAAGCGCTTGTCTCAATAAGTATATTCTGAATTTTTGGTCAAGATAAGAAAAGCTTACCAATATTTTCCTATATTTTTCGCCTATTAACTTCAAAAATACAAATTATTTGCACTACCAGTATCTTTTTACTTTAAAATGAGAATTGTCACGACCAGCATTTCGGATATACCAGTTAATATAGAATTTCCAGCCCTGCATCAGAAGCGCGCTGAAGTGTAGTCACTACAAGCGCGCTGAACAAGAAGGCTGTCATTCAGCGACTCACGCGCCAGAGGTGGTAGGACGAGACACAAGCCCAAGTTACGGAGATCAACAAGTAGTTCAACGGGACGTGGGTGCGCGTTCCGAAGTGAAATCTTGAGTGCTCGCCTGGCTAGCCGAAGTCCATTATCAAGAAGCACAACTACCCATTCTTTTTCAGGTTCTCATAGCCATCCAAATAATTTTGTGGGTGCTGGAAGATCGAACCGAATAACGAGAGCCCATCTAGCTTCAGATCTACCAGCACATGGAGATAATGGTACAGGTATAGCTGGGTCACAATAAGATGATTCTTACTTAACGCCGGGCACGACGACCGTGGTCCAAATACAAAATCTGGTACAATTGCCTTATCAAACATCAGGCAGGAAACTCCAACACCCAGACTTCACAGCTGACTGCCACACCGGCTGGGTCGCCAAAAGTAGCGCCGAGGTCGGTACCGTGCGAGAAGAGGCCAGGCCACGGGCGACAGCGACTCAGGAAAGAAACGAAGGTCGAAGCTCCCGAGCATGATGTGCTCAAGAATGGCAAGATCGTATTATGTCAAAGGCTCCCTTTCACGTGCAACGAGCACTTCTCGCAGTCCCCCATCGGACTCCAGCTTTAGCTTAAGTTGACTACCTTAACATCTTATGCGTAGGCCGGGTCGGGGGTATCTGTTAGGGGGCAGCAGAAGGCGGCAACCGATGGGTGGAGTTCTTGTGTGCAAAAACATACCGCTTGCCTTTCAAGGTGGCGGCTTGATGCGATTTGTTGCGATGTCTGGGGTTCCAAGCTTTACTCCAGTACTAAGAAATACGATTACGATTCGTTACCGCTGTCTGGGATTCCAAGCGGCTAAAGGGCTAAGATTGCCCAATGTTTGGGGCTACAAATGGTACGCAGTGCTAAGATGTGCGATTTGTTGCCGATGTCTGGGGCTCCACAAAACTGTGCCATTTGAGCCCAAGGCAGTTGCAACAAATCGTACTTTTTTGCGCTGGGTCGGCAACAAATCGTACTTTTCAGCGCGCTCGGGTACTACTTACGGCTCCAAACATCCTAGCACTTGAGCACCGCTTGGAGCTGTTTCGGCAGCTATACTGGCTCTCCTGTGGCCGTTTGACTTCTTCGGCATCCAGACAGGCAAGCCGGCAAAAACTGCATTCGATTTTGGTGCACACAAGTGGCTTCGGATAGCAGACATCAGACTTTCAAGCTTGCTGGACACGAGGCGACTTCTTCCCCAAAGCCATGACTTACGCAGATGCCTGTAGCTGACATGTTGGCAACATGTGGGGATCCCCCTCAAGGTGCTTTCTGTTTTCGGCCCTTGGCAAGCATCCTCCCCTTCTCAAGCCTTTGGGCCGGTCGGAGTTTTCCGTGGCCAATGCTCTGAGGCGTGCTGCGCTTCGTTTCGCTTCTTACCGAGCGGTCCAACCCTTCTCTTGGAGCTCCTGCGAAGACAGGAAGGAAACTTCTTCAGACCAAAAAAACGGTTTGCACCATCTCCTCGCTGGGGACAGCGTGCCTCTAGAGTCGGAACTGCGATGAAAGTGCTGCTTGTGTTTCGCCGCTTCGCCCTGCCTTTCCAAGGATCGATCCCGCCGTTCCCTCGCCAGGCTTGGAAGACCTCAGACGGCCGGTGACGGCCGCTCTCCGTCATGGACAAGGGACGAAAAAAGAGCGCGCTTAGCGTGCGCAGAGACCCGTCTCTCGGCCACGGGCGCGGGCCGGCTTTCCCGTCGTTTCGGGTCTTAGAGAGTGTGTAGAAGGAAGCAAAAAGCCTCGAGTTGGAGAGCCTTTCGATCGAGTTCTGGGGCCCCCGGCAGTCCGAGCGGTGCTCAGATCTGAGAGCCTCGCAGGCTCCGCGCAGGCTCCGCACCACTCCACCGCCCCGCAATGCTCACTGCTGCACATGTCACATGTTGCAGCTGAGGTGCACAAATCGAGAAGTGTACCAAGGCAGCAGGCTGAAAGGCATGCTAAGATTAGCATGGCCCCCGCAGGATGAAACCACGTGAAACCGTGGCTCAGCACAAACCGAGAAGCCGTGTGTTTGTCTTTCGGAGTTCGGAATGGGGTTCGTCGGGCTTAATTGGATCCGCTGGCAGATTTCGGAACTTGTTTTGGACATGGAGTATTCTCATCTAGATGACGTGCCATATCATGTAAGACAACGTATGCTACAAAGTCCAGCCCCAAGCCATTACTCAATCGTTGCGAATTCCCCTTCTCCTCTCCGCTTATGCGCCCAAGCCTCATAGCCACTCCCCTTACACCACAACACCCAACAACAGCAACCGCCGATAGCAGAGCATCAGCAAGGAGGCAGCTTTGTGACGAGTTGCCAGCGGATGTCTTGAAACCTTTTACTACTTCTGTTGCACTTGTTGCCGGTTGTAAACCTCTGATATAACTCAAGAGTGATGCGACTTTCTCGCGACCGCCCGGTTGTACCAAAGTCACAACCTCTTCAAAAAGTCCAAGTGATGTCAGCGCTGTGCTTGGGTCCTCTACTATCGCTGATTTGACATCTTGAGGAAGAACTTTTAAAAGTCCTACCACCAATCTTGACTCCCAATCTCTGAACTTCTCTTCCACCGCTGGGATGTCCTGCCTAGCACCACCCGCCATGCGCAGCTCATGTCGTTTGTGTGCTGCGTCAAATTGCGTTTCCACGTATCTCGCGAAAAGGCCGCTGACCGTCTCGCACACTGCCACAAACTGCTTCCTCCAAGTAGTGAAAGCAAGAGCTGTCTCCCAGGGTTGTCCCGGAATGCTTTTGTACACTGGTAGGTCTAGCATAGCCTTCCACCGCCCATCAGGGATATCGGTCAATGCATCCGTTGCTGGACCCACGCCCTCATCATGACGGTCCCACTGGGGCCGCCTTGGTATATAAGCCCTGGAGGCAACTCTGCAGGCGCGGTTGAACCCAATGGGTTTTGTGACTCCTCAGACGCAGGTGCGGTCCACCAATCATCCTGGTCTTGATCGGCGCTGCCTCCTATCGGAATCTCCACAGCTGCCTCAGGATCTGAATCACCAATACATCAGCATGCCAAGCTTCTGTCAAGTGTTCGCACAGACCTTTCACCTGCTCCAACCTGCCCAGAAAGTCATCAGCCTGCCGTGCTTTGCGCAATGTTGCACGGCCATATCCCGGGGGGCATTTCCAGCCACACCCTCCTGACTACTCTGCCTCGCGATTCCTTGATTTGTAGATGAAGACCGTTTGATGTTCTCACTTGCCCTTCCAGGATTTCCATCCTTGCAAGTAATGTCGCCTCTCTCTAACCGAACTCTCGACGGTGGCTTTCACTGCGTCATCGCCTGCTAAGATAATACTCCAAACTTGTTTTGAGTTGACCAAGCTCATTTCTGCTCACATTCTTGGCTTCCACCAAAGACTGGATGATAATTTGCTGCTGTTGCAAGTCGCTGTGGATTTTCTCCAAGCCTCCGGCCAGTTGACTAAAGCCGTCTTGCAGTCCGCGCACTGACTGCCCCACCTCACCCAATGCCGACCTAAGACCTCCGCACGGTTCTGGATGCCAACTCAATCAAAGCACTGGCCTTGGAAATCATCCGAAATTGGCGTGCAGCAAGGGCTAGAGCAGCAGCATTGGGACTGCCTGCGACGGCGCCTAGTGAAGCTATGCGTTCATTGTCATCTTTGACTCGTACGCTTGAGAGGAAGTTGGATTCTTTGCGCACTCGTCTGAGTATTATGAAACTTGCCCCTCAGATTCAGTTTCCTACCGAGAATGGAGTGACCATGATCTTGAATACGCTGGAGAATGAGCTTCGGCAGGCCGGTGCTGACGAGACTGTTCGTCTTTACAAGCAACAATCTGGTTCCGAAGATGTGTCTACTGCGGCAAAGGGCAAAGGAAAGGGTAAGGAAGCTGATAAGGGCAAGGGTAAGGGCAAGGACAGCAAGGGCAAGCAAGGTAAGACTAACAATGGTGGACGGGCTCAGGAGGAAAGAGCCAGGGCGGTGGTCGTCGCAAAGAGTTGCCATGCCACTTCCATTGGTCGTCTGCAGGTTGCTATCGCAAGTCATGCCCTTACTCTCATGCTGAAAAGCACAAGCCCAAGCCTAACACTGCAGCAGCAGCGCAAGCTCCAGCGTTGGTTGGTGGAGGTGGTGCAGAGGACAGCAGTGCTGCCCAGGCCACCGCAAAGCCGAAGCCAAAACCGCAGCCGAAACCGAAGGCTTCATCAGTGACAACCTTCACTTCAGTGGCTATGACGGCCATGCGATCAGGAGGGTTTGAGAGACAAGATTCAGAATCGAGTGACGCGGACTCACTTTCGGAGGTGTCTGGGGCTTCATTGGATTCCGAAGATAGCACGGTAAACATCTTGACGTCACATCCTCCAGAAGACGACTTCGAGGAAGCTTTGATAGGAGCCTTAGGCCTTTTAGCGTGCAAGCTTGAAGGCGCAAGAACCGTTACCTTGACACTGGATCACGATGAGTACATTCGCTGGAGACAGCCGCAAATGATCAACGGTAGAGCTCATCGCCAGTGGTGTGAGGTAGCAACAGGTCCCGATGCTCCTCCAAACGTTGCGATTGTTGTCTGGATGGCGTTGCAACATGAAAGAGTTTGCCACACCTGTAGAAAACACTGAGGTTTCAGAGACGCAGCGCATCCTGCGCATCGATCAGATTTTGGTCACTGGTGTTGATGGGACGCCTCGTGAGGCCTCTTGGCATGGTGTGTTGATGTTGCTGATGGAAATGAGGTGTTCATGGTGATCACTCGTGGAAGCTATCAGCCCCAGCTGAGATCATATTCAGGCCTAGCGAACACGCTCGAGGAAGCACCAATCCAAGAAGCACAAGCATCACATCAGCGCCAGCATCAAACGCAGAGTCCAACATCCAGCAGCAGTCAACCTTTGCATCGCCAACCGCACCGGAGAGTAGCAGCTTTAATGGAGCTTGAGCTTGAGTCTCTCAGGTTTTGGAGCTGGTAGGGTGTCCGCCACACTTCACGGCGCCAGGAGTGCATTTTGCAGGTGTACCTGAGCCTGCAAGGGAACAGCTCTTGGCCCTTTGCGCCTTTGGGTTTATCTTTGCGAGGAGGAGCCACCTCTAGGAGGAGTGAGTTCTTCCGGAGGTTCTGTCGCGATGAAGGAAATGAAGTAGTGCGAACAGGTGGCCAGCGAGCGGCCACAACGGGCGCACTCAGCGCCTATTCAGTTGGCCAATGGAAAACATATCGAAGCATTGCGAACGCGAGATGGAGTCATCTGGATTGAAGCAGGCCCTGATGCATCAATATTGGTTGGGGTGTGCAGGCTAGTGTCTTGGAGCAAACTTCGCATGGGATCAAACAGAAGCTTACTGAGCACAGAAATCATCACTTGGAGCGAGGTCGCAGAGCTTGCGGCAGCAGCATCAAATGCAGTGAAAGATGCTGTGGATGCGGCTGAACAGCGCTGGAGCAAGGCCAGTGCGCAGGCGCTTGGTTGTGACAGCATACACTGCGGGGCTTTGGGAGAACTTGTCAGAGCAAGACAAGACATCTTCGAGAGAGCTGTGCTTCCCTTTGCCGAAGCCAAAGCAGGCAACTGCATCAGTTGAGGCCGAGCCACAACCAAAGCAGAGCATCGCACTTACAAGCATGCCACCGAGCATTAACCAACCCCTCACCGAAGCATGATCTCATCTTTCAGGGAGTTCCTGATTGTGAGGGTGGGCCAGGAGTTATACGGGGTATGGTGACTTTTGGAGAGATGTTTGCGAAGCTCAGCAGGGTCTTGAGGGTGCTCAGGTTTCGCAGTTCAGGGATGATGTGGATTCCCATGCACGTGAGTGCCATGGAGATCTGTTGGCAGTGCAGACCGTCCACACAACTTATCAGAGGGGCTGTCTCGAGTGTCAGGCGAGCCGTGGACATCGGAAAGCACACTATCGCATTCCTAGCAGCATCAGGTGAGTTCTGTGGTTGTAAGCTTTGATCTGTCTGGACCGCACGTGTTCGGAAAGCATCAATCACTGTATTTCCTGGTAAGCGCTTTCACGACTGGCGACAAAAAGACTGGACTCAGCCCTCAAAGACGTCTGCAGAAACGCTTAACAACATGAAAAGCATCATCATGCAGCTCAGGGCGGAGCTTGAAGATCCAATAGCTGTCATCCGAGTTCATAGCGACAACGGTGGAGAGTTTGTTGCAAGTAAGGTCGTGGAAGCTCTTCATTCGGATGCTATCTGGAAAACGTGTACGGCTGCTTATGAGCCAAAATCAAACGGACGAGCTGAGCGGCAAGTCCAAGCGCTGAAGGACCCTAGAAGAACGAATTCAAGGGCCGGAGTCTGAGGATCATGAACCCAGGGTTGCGGCTAGGATTCGAAGTGTCTTGAAGGCAGAGGAGGGCTCTGACATGAATGCATTTTCTTGCCGAGCTGATACCATCACACCTGTCGCAGCGTCTACAAAGGGGACCAAGAAGAAGACGAATTATGGTGTATGGAGTCTTCAGGCTGAGAAGGAGGCATACAAGAACGAAGCACGGGCGCTTGCAGCAATGTCTGGCCAGAGCTTAACCTTTGGATTGCTCTTCGTATGCGTCCTGATCTAGCAGCATCCGTGGGAATCACAGCAACTCTGATGTCACATTGCCCAGGTGAGGCCTTGAAGATTGCAACGGGTTTATGGCGCTATGTAAGTTACACGCGAAATCTAGGAATCAGATACACGGCAGGAGATGCGGGCAACAGCTTGAGGACCTCCACTGATGCTTCATGGGCGCCAAGTGGAAGCAGATCGCGCACAGGCATAACAGTGGGGCGCACATTTGATGGCATGGAGAAGTCGTCAACGACAGACGTTGACAGCATACTCACCAGCAGAAGCGGAACTTGATGCTTTAGGTACTTCTTTGCAGCCTGGGTGTAACATCCAGAACATGATTGAGAGCATCACAAGATGCAAACTTGAGCACAACTTGCAAGGAGACAGCATGGCATCAATACAACTGCTTCTTGATCCAGGATACTTTGTTGAAGATCAACGCACACGTCATTTCGCATTACGGAGTGCATATGTTCGCGATCATATGTCAGCATCGGATACATGTTTGGATCACTGTCCTGGGCAACACTTGCCAGCAGATGCCCTTACGAAGATTTTGGCATCAACGAAGCTGCAGCTCGCAAGGGACATGTTGGGCATGTGTGATGCGTCGGGAGCGTAGACACGTTCCCTTGAAATCTTCATACACAAGCACTACGACAGCAGGGTCTGCAGTCTATGTAAGTGGTGGTAGATCATGCTTGCATGCAGTTATTCTTTTCCCCTTTTGTCAGTACCAGCTGTGTCCGAAGGAAGACATGCCAGCACAGCCGGGGATCAAGAGTTCACGACTGTTTGGTCATGGAGTTTCGCACGGTGGGATGCCGAACTTGCCACTCGTTTGCCACTGGGCTTCAAAAGTGAAGAAGCACCTCGAAAGAAGAAAGATGTCCGTAAGACATCAAACCCTGGTCTCGGGGGCACCAGGTAAGTCCACAGTTTTGTTGCTTTGCATTCCGACAGTGGCTGTAAGTAGACGTCCTGCTAACGCTACTTTTGTCATACTTCTCTGTGCACCTGTTTTGCGGCATCGGCGTGAAGTCTCTCCCACCTGTGCCGAGGAGGAGTGTTGCACATGTCACATGTTGCAGCTGAGGTGCACAAATCGAGAAGTGTACCAAGGCAGCAGGCTGAAAGGCATGCTAAGATTAGCATGGCCCCCGCAGGATGAAACCACGTGAAACCGTGGCTCAGCACAAATCGAGAAGCCGTGTGTTTGTCTTTCGGAGTTCGGAATGGGGTTCGTCGGGCTTGATTGGATCCGCTGGCAGATTTCGGAGCTTGTTTTGGACATGGAGTATTCTCATCTAGATGACGTGCCATATCATGTAAGACAACATATGCTACAAAGTCCAGCCCCAAGCCTTTACTCAATCGTTACGAATTCCCCTTAACCAACACTCACGACTTGGCCTGAAGTGCCGCTGCCAGGCAGCAACGCGGGCATCGGCGTCGTTACGCGCCTCTCATCTCAGAGCAAGCCTCTGTTCCAGTGCAACTCTTTTCGGCATCTCTGGCGACCTGATCATCTCGCATCTGGGCCTGACGTCGCATCTGTTCCCTTGTGGATGGGAGGGAACTACGCCAAGCTTCCGGCCGCAAAGTCCGACTTGAGCATTGGCACCTCCACTTAATCTTCGATGCTGTGCGACTTTGCAGTCGCGCTTTGCAGCCTGAATGTCCCGATAGTTCCAGGCCACACAGCCGATGTAGTTCTCAAGGCCGCTGTGGCGTGCCTGGTGCATTCGTCGCGCGCGCTGTCGCCGGACCCAGCCCCGCCAGCCCTCTGCCTGCCATTTCTCTCGGTCGAACTTCTCGGGTGGTCCGGGCCCTAAGGGCCGCTTCTGGAAATCAGGTCGCCTGGCTCACAGAAGGAGTCAGGGGGAGACCTCAAGAAACTTCGGGGAGATTCCCAGTTTCCACCCTTCGGCACCTTGGCAGCTTGGCCATTGGACGCGGCGGCGGTGCAGGCACAAGACCATTCGTCGCTCCATGGAGGTCTGGCCCATGAGGACGTCCCTGTGCTGCTGGGCCTTCGGAACAGGCAGAAAAGGATTCCGAATCCGATTCTGCACAGATTCCGACCCCACAAATAGGGCTTGGGCGCAGCCAGCTGCGATCGCTAAAACCTCAGTCCGAGAGCGAGAGCAAAATGAGCAAAGCAGCTCTGCACTGCTTTGAACTCTCCGCTGCTCTGGACCGCGCCTTGCCACGTGGACTCCAGTCTCTCCAGGCTCCGTGGGCCCACTGGGCCAAGACGCTGGAAGTCCCTCGGATGCCGATGCAGAGAGACATGCAGAGACCTCTAGGACACTCATGACACTCGCAGCTCCCCGCAGCGGGGGGCCCCTGTGCTTCCCGCAGAGGCAGAGGCGGCGCCAGTCGCTCCGGGCGAGCGTCTCTCCGAAAGCGGCCTCCTGGCAACCAAGAACTGCCCGCAGTCAGAGCTTGAAGCAGAGCTTACGCCTAAGCCCTAAGCCTCCCCCCCCAATGCCCTGCAAGCCTTGCAAGCCTTGCAAGTGTGCTAAGAGAGACCGCTCCGCCGCTCCTTCTCGGGGTGAGGGACTCGAGCTTTCACCTATCAGGTCCCAGCGCCCGGGCCCTGAGAGACCGACCATTTAGTAACTTGGATGTTTTCTATGTTGGACATGTGGGTACTTTGAGCAGGCTTCGTTTGTGTGTGTATGGTGGTTTTTGGCTTGTGTTTGGGAACCAGTTCGACGACGAACAACATCCTACGACACCCCAGCAAGACTGCAAGGCGGGCGGGCCCCCGGGCCTCGTTGAAGAGAATCTTGACGAGCACCCGTAAAGCCGTGAACATAGGGGGCTCTTGCAGAAGGCTTGGGGCGTGCTTTTTCGAATGTGTTCTTCTTGTTACGAGTGCCTACAAGCCACACTGAACCGTGCATGAGTTCATGTTGTGACAGCGATGGAAGAAAGCTCAGAAGACTACCCTTGAATCTCTACGATTGGAGTACTCAAGGCATGACTCATCGGTATGCTGCCATCGCTGGTGCACGGAAACTGCAGCATTCTGCATCGCCGTAGTAACCAACTCTTGAGCGGCCCGACTTTCGCTGTAATTCATGCTCAACCCCAATCCCGTATCACATGTGACCTGGCTGCCCATCGTTGGAAAGTCTAAAGAGACGGCGAAGCAGGACTCACTGTCAAAGGACGTATACCCAAACCACGTCCTTAAGCCCAAGAACGCTGCGCAGTCTCGGCGCGTTCCTCAGGCACCTCCGACTCCGATTCGGACTCCACTACTTTCCCGCCTTGCCCTTGGGCTCCTTCTGAACAGCTTCCACCCAGCTGCTGCCAAGCCCATCGCTGCTGCCGCCTCCAAAGCAGAAGCTCACCGGATGCCCCTGTTTGACACCGTTAGGACCGTTAGGAGCTTTTGCCAGCGGCTCCTGTGAGAGCCTTCCAGAGCTGTGGCCAAGGCTTGTGCCTGCAGGGACGCGGCGGAGAAAGCGGCCATTTGTTAGGTGCCAAGTGCTGCCAGGCTGCGAGCTCCGAGCCCGGCGGCTCGATCGGGGACTTTCTCCGCCGGACCACAGCCGCGCCGCGGCGGCCGGGAGACCCGGGAGACCCGGAAGCATCGGAGTTCCGGGAACGAGGAGAGAGGCCGGGCGCGTTGGGGGACCTCGAAAAGCGCCGAGTCGGTGACAGTCCCACATGAAGACGCCTCGCCAGGCGATGGCGCGCCCCCCGCCAGAGGACGCAAGCAACCGCGCTCCGGGGCCCGGGCGGCGCGGGCGACCTGGAGGCCTTCAGACAAACAAAAATGACCACAAGAACAAGCAGAGAAGAGCCGCAGGAGCCGCCGAGCCGTCACAAGTCTACTTTGGCGCCTGGAAGATCACAGCGTCCTGGCCCCAACCCCTTCTCCGGCTTTCTCTTCGCCCGCCCCGTGCAAAGAAGCTCGGCTCCGTGTCACCTCCATGCTCAAACCCGCGAGTGTGGACCGTGTGAAAGACTCGGATGCGCACGGTAAGGTGCCCTCTTCCAGCTGCCGTCCTCGAGCAGACGAGACCGAGACCGCAGTCGGCGGGCACTTGCAAGGCGCCTCTCGCCAACTCTGAGCATCACGAGCTGTCCCCTGGCCCTGGCGAAGCAAAGCGGCTCTTTAGCATCTTCGTCCCGACCGTAGCGCTCACGGGCCGTAAGAGACCCAGCGACACTGAATGTTACACATCCAGGTGCCTGTC